ACTGAAAGATGCCTTTGGTTTTATCTACCCACTGAATACAAGAAGCCATCTCGGGATTGCACAGCGATTCGTGAAGGTATTCAAACAACCGGAGCTTCTTCCTGCCTTTTCCACCCTTTTGCTGGAGAAAAGTAGGTTGTATTAACTGGTTTTCAGTGAGATTCTGTAGTGATGGATGAATATTTCCATCAAAATAGTAGTCCGTAGCATTATTAATTACAGTCCTGCAGTTGTAGACAGGGTCTTCGGGAAGTAACCCTCCTCCACAGTAGCTGGCACTGCCTCTGACATGAGGACAGTGGTTGATGAAAGCTAGATAGTTTTTGTAATCTGGAGAGTACTGAAGGTTGCCAGTTGAATGCTGTCTTAATATGTCAAAAGCATCTTCAAATGCTTGGCCCAGTCTGTCTTGTTCAATACAAGTCATGCTTCATTCATTAATAAATTGATGAGTCAGAAAGAATACTTCAACCTTTTATGAAGATGCTTCATTAATACCAGACTTGGTAAGGGCAGACTTGTTCAAGAACTTGCTGGCAGAATCGCATTAAGTAGCTACTTTTAAGGAAGTGCTGTCCATCCAAGTCCTGCCTTGCATCCACATGCGCCAGGTAGAAGGAACCTTTCCCTCCTCTGAAGTAACCTCAGCGTGTCCTGAGGCTGTGAATTTTTATGGGAGCAGAAAGCCTCATCTTTCTCCGAAAGAGTGCCCAGTGGATTTGAACTTCTGACCTTGCTATTAGCAGCCCAATTTTCTTAATTCAGCATTCACAGCAAGTGCCGTGACTGTTTAAGAAATTTCCAGAACATGCTGGTAATTATTTACACGATCAACTACTTCTCTCACTGATGCTCTTTGAATAATTTTATAGTAGAACTATGCTTCATTCTAGGCAATTAATGTTGTGCTAAAATTTTATGTGTAAAATGAACTCATTTAAAAAACGTGTTACATAGGGAAGGAGAAGGGAAAAAGAGCAAGGAATAAATATTTACTAAGAATTGAGAGAGATCAGAAATGGTGTTAGGAGCTTTTCAAACTTTGTCTTATTTAATTCACATACCACTACCATCCTCATGCTACAGAAATGAAAACCAAGGCTCTGGAAGATCATAAGACTTTCCACCATCTCCCAGTTGCTGAATTGAAATGTAGGCTTGTTGGACTCGAAAAGTTATTTAACTTCCCAGAGAACATTTAGATACATGTGAGTCATTGTTAACTGTATATACAACTGTTTACTTTAAACCTCACATGTAGAATATCTAGATCTGAGTCCCTAAATTCTACTGTGTCTGAAACTTGCTCAATCCTTTGATTTTGAAATAATTGAACCAAAAATTTCCTACTTAGATTGAACAGCTTTAAGACTTGTTCTTTGTAACGTGCTTAAAAAGAAGTTGATTCTATTCTACTCTCCATATGTTGATGATCATGAGAAAATGCAAATAACAATATCGTGGGTCACTGAAAAGGACAACAGGAATAAAATAATATTCTTATCTTCCAGAACAACCAGAATGATACACAGATACATTAAAATATCCCAGCATTCTATTCTGCTAATGTGATGCCAAAACTGTTAAAAATGGAAAAAGATGGAACCTTTTCATACTGAGTCACAAGTTAATAATGCTCCACACAAAGAACTGGAATGATAAAGTGTATAGACGCCCTGGATTCTAGACCTAGTTCTTTCAACCCTTATGTTTGCATGCCTAAATAGCTTACGTCTCTTAGGACCAAGTTTCCTCATTTCTAAACTGCAGATGATAAAAATGTCCAACTCTGCTGGCTTATTTAATTAAAAGAACTAAATAAGATAAAGTACTCTACAAAGTTAAAAGCACCCTAAAAATATAAGACCCACTGCTATCGAGTTGACTCTGACTCATAGCTACCTGGTATAGATAGGGTTTCTGAGACTGTAAATCTTTTCGGGAGCGGAAAGCCTCATCTTTCTCCCAAGGAATTGCTAGAGGGTTTGAACTGCAAAGCTTTTGGTTAAGAGCCAAGT